AAGGGCACGTCATATACGCTATGTACAGTGGACGACGTCCCAGTGGCTGGCGATCTCATTGGCGTCCTAAAGGAAGCCAATCAAACAGTCCCGGAAGATTTGCAAGAGCTTGCCCATGGACGACTTCTTCAGAAACAAGCCAGAGGGTTTGTTCCATTTTGACTCATTCCATCAAAAATCACCGATGTAATAGCACTCTCCTAGTAGCAGTCATTTTATTACTGTGCTAGTGGCTCCCAATTACGGAACTCGTTTCGTATGCTGTTAGAAATGTTTCGATTGCCGCAGCTCGCCAAGTGTGTCAGCACCGACTTGCCATCGGCACGAATCGTAGCGAGTTACTGTTTGAACAAAAAAAAAAAAGGAAAAAGTAATTCGAATTTTGGAATAGGTATTCAAATAAAGTCTATGGAAATTCCGTCTTAGTCTATGAAAATTTCATTATCTCTCTTTTTATGCTTTTGTGTTCCCCTGCTGCAAAAAGAGGCTTTAAAGTAATGTAAATAAACAGAACTTCTGACTTTTGAGTTTATTTGCAGCAGATATCGAGGCTGAAGTTGTGGACGCCTGGTTGTTAGCACGTTGTTGGCGGGTCGTTTATGGTACGATTGGAATAGGAATCCTCTGCATTCCCCAGTCATTGATTTTTTTTCTTTTTTTTGAAGCTATTCATCATTAACTTCCTCACACACAGTGCTGAATATCTGCAGATCTGGTGATGTGTGTCTGTTTGTTTGAATGCCTACTGAGAATGACGGCACGACTTTGTGCAAATTCCATAACTTACGGTGCGATTTTCAACACTCCCCTCTTTATTGTGTGCTGCTGCATGCAGATGGCAACGATATTGAAATAAACCGTATGCACAATTAAAAAAATATAACACGCATTTTACGCACAATCTCACATGAATATTATGGCTTGTCTATGTATAATTCAAAACAGACGCAATTGTATGACTGGAAGAGGACACAATACCCGCAAAAAACGGCTTCAGTTATGGTACAAAGATAGAAAGCAGTATTACCAGCAAATAAGGGAACACAATAGACCGGGCTCAGAATCCGCAGTGCTGGGATAAGTCAGGATGAGGACAGCGAAATATGCAACAGGCCCCATTGGTCCCCGATCTCTTTTAAAGTACACTTCACCAACAGAACTAGCGATATATTCCTGACAAATATGCTAAAAAGTAGCAGCTGCAGTGAGGGCATGAAGATAGCT